TGCTTTGTACATTTAAGGTGTCAGTGTTCAGGCCCAATTGTTTTTTTTTCGGCTGATAGGGCGAACAAGATGATCTAAATTTGACCTATTCGCCGAGATTCTCTGATTTGATTTGATTTGATTTGGAGGGGAAAAACTGCAAAACGTTCTTAATCAATCGGAAACAAACATTGTTTTTGTCAAGTGCAGTAGAACTCTAAACATCATAAATCTACAGTATCACTTAACAATTCTATTATACACATAATCTTTTTCAAAATTTAGAAAAATGCTACAGTAACCTCTAGGACTTATTGTATGAATGAATAACACATTTAAATACCTTATTTAGTCTTATAGAAGCCCACCCTATACGTGCTCTTCGAGCTCAATTATCTAGCTTGCTGTTAAAGGTAACGAAAATCAGTCAATTAATAAAGTATTGGTGATACTATGATAAATAATTTATCAGTTGAAATTTTCGTGATATCTTTTGAACGAACCGAGATATTTGAGCTCAAAGTGCACGTCTCGTTTGTGCATTTGTTAGAGCGGATACGGTATTTCACAATTTCCTGTCCCAGCAAAGATTGCCAAGAATTTTAGAACTGTGTTTTTTTCTTATTTTTCAAAACTGTTAAATTTTGTCTCTTATCAAGTTCTTCCTATTGTTACAATCATTTAAGAACAGTAGGACTTACAAGGGAAGTCGTTTCAGACACTGGTTGAGAATCTCTTGAAATTTTGAACAAGTATACTAAATGAGACTCTGAACATGGTGTGATTTTTTGCTTTTCCAAACCGGCCTCCAGAAGCTGAAAATTTGCGTCTGAAATTTTAAAATGCTTTTAAGCGTCTTTGAGCGCCGCGCCTTTCCCCCTTTCTTATATTCATTCAGTAAAAGGAGAGAGCAGCGAGAAGCGGTGTAGTGGTGAGGAGGGACGGACGTGTCTGACAAGGGTCAGGTTCGATACCCCTCTCCAGAATCGTTATTGTTTTTTTTTCTGAACCTCTGGAAGTCTCAATAAGTTGCATAACAAGTTTTTCGAAATTTTTTAAATCCAGATTGTCATTTATTTGAATAATATCATTATTTTTGATAAAACTCGAAAAATACTAGTAGATGTTCTGGAAAATTTCTGGAAGTCCCACTTTTAAGTTTTCGCTAGTCGCATTGTTAAACCGTTTTCCCTAGATTGTCTCATTTCTGCTTTGGAAAAAAGCAATGTAAATCAGTAACTATTCAATTCATAACTATTTGAATTTCCGAAGTCTACGATCCATTGAAGTTTCTAAAGAAATCCCTTATTTGTGATTTCGAGAGGTATTCAGGCTACCACATCCTGTGAAAATACTTATTTTATCATTTATCTACCTTTAGTACTCATTTTAGCCCATTTTGAAAATTTTCGAAAAATTGTAAATAGCCAAAGGTAAATAGCCCCATGCGACATTTTTTCAAAAAATATTAATTTTTTTGAAAATGAGGAAACTTTTTCAGATTGTAGAGCAACATTTAAAAATACGATTTACATACAAAAAACTCCGAAGAACTGTTATTAACCCATTCAAAAATTCACTCCAAAAGTTAGAAATTAGCACTGAAATCACTTAAACAGCCCATAACTTTTTTTTCACAGGGCCGCTTTGGGAAAACTGACTTCAGTTCTTTGATCAGCGCGCACAAAAGTACCAATGACGAAATTTTGAGCAAATTCTCAACCGGTGTCTGAAAAGACTTCCCTTGTTAGAAAATCCAATTCTACTGTATCCATTGAATTTCACAATTTCCTACCCTAGCGAAAAATGCCAAGAATTTAGGAACTGTTGTTTTTCTGTTATTTTTCAAAACAGATAAGTCTAGACCTCTTATCAATGGCTTCCTATGGAAGTGAATTTCTCAATCACTTACAGACCTGTCATAATATTTTTTATTTTGCCACTTTGAAAGCAGGATGTGATGACGATATTTTGACCCCTATTTTTTAGAGCTCTAGGACCTCCAGATCCCATTTCCATTCTTTCAGTCATAAATTAACTAGAGAGTGGAGACTTTTAGTGTTGCCTGTCGAAAGTAAAGCCGTCCTCTCACTCCGGGGCGTCCATTTCTTTTGTTTTTCGAAAAATTTTCCTGGAGCTCCATTTGCCTCCCAGGAGTGCGGCAAAGTGCTCAATCTTCTTTCAATTTCATTCTTTTCCACATTTCAATCAAGACGTTCTGTCGCAAAATCCATTTTTTTCTACGAAACGTCTTCTACTTTTTTTAACTAAGTGAAATTGAAGCAGCAGGACGCGAATAAGATTGAGATGAAATAAGAACAAATTTGAACCGACAGGAAAAGAGACCGCAATTTCCCAGCCAACCAAGATCCCCCTTTCTATACGTTACGGTTTTTCCTCATCTCATTCGTCTTCGTCTTCATTTCAATTGCAATTAGAATCACACTTCATTTTTGATTCCACGATACAAGGCAATCAACGGCTTTCCAATTTTTTTGGTACAATTCCTCTGAGAAAGTATTTCCCTCATCTAGTTTATCAATCAATCAATAGAACCTTCGGGGTGTCTGTTTTTTTCTCGGGCAGCCTTTCTACCTTCTAGAACCATATGATATCAATTGATACTTTCCTAACAATTTACTTTCCCTTTGAGAGTGTAACAAAACAGAAGGAAGGATGATAATTGAAATGGTTGAGTGCATCTATCCTAATTGTGTCTTGGACCTCTTAATGCCCTACCTATTTTTAGCTGCATATGTTCGCGTATCTTTCTTTGCTTGAATATTTGCACACGAGAAAAAAGTTTTATACCTTTTAGGTGCTTGCCCTGGTAGTGGTGTCCAAAGTTCACTTTCATAACAAAAGGTTAGCAAGGGAATTTTTTTTTTCAAATTTTCATATTTTCTGCCCAACTACAGTTTTGCATGTTGCGGTTTCTTTTTTCTGACAAGTGAACGCCTTGTGAACCCAGATTTCGATGAAATGTTTAGGATAACTTAAGAGTACCCCACCTAGGCACTTTTTTAGTCAAGTTACATGAGTTTCAGTACCAAAAGCCGCAAAAAACGATTTTCTCAATTTTTAGGACATTTCCAAGTATAAAACAACAATATTCTCGTTCTAAAACATTTGTTTCTGAACTAGATTTTCATAAAATTTAGAAAATTAAAAGTGTCTTTTCTAGTCTTGAAATATTGAGAATTCGCTGAAAATTAAACGAAATCGCAGAATTTTGACACCAAAAACAATTTTTTATGGGTTTCATTTTCGTTATTTCCACTTTCAAGAAATCTATTTTTCAAGATTCATTTTAGACGGTTTCGATCCGAAAAACAGTAATTCCGATTCTTTACTTAAAAGCCATCGGAAAGCGACGATTTTCAACCTAAAATAAATGAAAATTGTTGACTTGAAAATGGTAGTTATTTTGACCAAAAAATCTTATGAAATAGCTTTTTTAACCTGAAAAATCAAGATGTTGGTATTAAAACTGGCAAGCGTGTTCTGAAGTTTTCAGAAGTCTCTGGGCTGTTCTTCGAAATTTTCATCAAATTTTGGGTTAAAAAAATGTTGCGGTTTCCTTACAAGATGTCACTCCACTATTTTTTAAACCCTCCCCCTGTTAAGTGGTTTCCCCCTCTTGATCTATCGGTCATGTTAACGGTTTTGACAAACTTTGTCCCATTTTCAATGTACTGCCTACCAGGAAATTGGTAGAGCTGTCGAACATCCGTTGTCTAGAGACATCCCCCACGCATCTCAACTTTTTTATCAGTTCTTCTTTATCTAGACAGTTTTTTTTTTGTTTTATCGCTTTTCTTTCTTTTCCTTCCTTTCCAAAAAAAAACAACAAACGGGCGCCAGAGGCAGCAAGTCTGTCAAAATGTTCAAAAAGTATATTTTTTATCTGCTACTGTTGCCTTGTCTCTTTTTTCAAATCATTTCGCTTTGTATACACTAAGAAATAGACGCACACAAAAAGATTTACGATATGGCCCAGATGCCACTATATCTCGGTGTATCCGAATCGGATGTCTGTGGAAAATATGCGCATCCTCTCTTTCTCTCGCAAATCCATCACTTTTTCCTTTTTTTTTTATATTCAAGCCTATCCATTTTCTGACTTCTCATTTTTTTTATTGAAATGATTTCAAAACTTTTCATTCACTTCCGGAAATTTCCTTTGGGTGGATGATGCGAGAAATTGACTAAATGGGCGGAGCTTCAGATAACAAGAGGAATCGGTTCAGTTGGGGTTAATGGATAACAGATGCCTGCCTTGCACGTGAATCGATCAGTTAGGGGAGGCAAACGGACGATACAAGTGATGTCACAAAACACTTTTTCTCGCATTCATCCGGCGATTTTTGTCCCTTTCTCTCTTTTCGAAACCGCAACAAAACTCATTTGCCCCCTCTCACCTTCTTTGCTTATTCATTCTATTCTTCAAAACCCGCGCCGCGGATTTTCCCCTATTCAAAAGTTGAAAATCCAATTTTCTCCGGGACATCCATTCCCCCGGGGTCTTACGGTTGCCTTCTGGGGTTTTAATACTCGTTTTGCACCTTTTTTTTCGTATTCTCCACACTTTTTTTTGTCCCTTGTCATTTTCCCTTTCCGTTTTTGAACAAACAATTGGCTCCTCCTCAGGTCCAGTCGGTATGTCAACACCCAACCGAATTTATGTTCCCATCTTTGTTCTAGCGTGCCTTTTGTACTTGCCAATTAGATTTTTTTCTTATTCTCTTTTTTTGAGAGAGAGAGAGCCCATCGTTTGATAGAGCTGTTATCAGAAACATCCTAAGCTCCGCCCCCTTTTGAGAAAAAAAATCTCAAACATCTCTGTGTTCGTTCTGCCTTCTTCTAGTCGTCTTCTATTTCTGTATTCTGCGAATTCTCAAAAATCAACTTTAATTGAATTAGTGTCTTTAATATGTTCCGCTGATTTTAGTCTTGTTTCGTTGTTGCTTGCCCTCTAATCAATTTTCTCAAAAAAATTTTAAAGAATTTTGTTTTCAGTCATGCCGTTCTTGGGTAGCACCGCACAATCCGCTTCTAACTTCTTTACGTTGCCGTTCAGAAAGAAGAAACAAAGGTAGGCGAATCTGGTTCTGATAGTGTTCTTCTAGACTGTAATAAATACATATCTTTGTCACATCAATTCTAGAACCGTGTAACATCACATATCAGAATAACATCAGAAAGAGAAAAACGCGTTCCATCATTCGTTTTCAGGTACACTATCAACCCACCCGAGGAATCATACAATGTCATCTATCTGGGAAACGTTCTAACAATCATGGCACGTGGAGAGAATTGCTATGAGAAGCCGTTGTCGCTGATCTGGAAGGCGTATTGCTCACGAGCTCGAGGCGACCTAGGAATGAACTTGGAGATTACTAGATCGGGATTGAAAGCAGAGACAAAACAACAGGGATTGACAGAGTACTGGGCTCATCGCATCACGTTCAGTGGGGCTCCACCAGAGTATCCGAAGGTGTTCTGCTGGATTTACAAGCACGATGGGAAGAGGTACGGTAGTTGGACAGAAAGGTTTTGACAGCGCAGAAATATCAACAGTAATTCTGTTCGAGACCTGTGAACAATATTTTTGAATGCGACCTTGAAAATACCATAGTACAAAATCCTCTGATTCCAAAAAAAGCCTCGGAAGTATTCTTGTCGGGATTTTATTCTTCAATTTCAATTTAGTTTAATTTTGATTTATTCCAAAAATGGTCAATGTTTTCGGTATTCCAAATTTTGTTTCAAACATCCCTGTTTTGTTTTTTAGAGACCATTTCTCTTTTGAGACTACAAATAATTTTTTCAGACTAAAACCAGAGCTTCGATGTCACGCGGTGTTGTGCAAGAAGAGCGCGGAGCCAGGAATCATCAACACACGCCTTCAAAGCTTCCTTGCCGCGGCTCTCCAGGAGTATAAACGAGAGAAGCTCTCAGCCCAGAACGCTCGTCTCACCGGATCCGCTGGATGCCCACGTCGCAAGCTCATTCTTCAGACTGGAACTCTCAATTTCCGCCCACCAGTGAGCCGATCAAAGTCAGCACCTCGTCTGGGCAGTATTGACGAAGAACAAGAGGTTCGTGCGTTTGTGTTTTTGAACTCATGTGATATTAGAACTCTTGATATAGGTATTTCTTTGTTTAGGAGGAAGAAGAACCGTTCGCCTCTGACGACAACGAATCAGTGTGTTATCGCGCGGCGCCGGATGTAGACTCCAACTCATCGTTCCCAGTCAGCGACACCTACAAGTCAGAAGCGGGACCAAGCAGTTCGTCAACAACCGGATCCAGCTCGGTGTGCTCTGATGATGAGCGGGCGACGCTTCGTTTGCCGAGAACTGATCCTGATAGTCTTTCGGAAGAGAGCGGTGAGTGGAGAATCGGACATTATGATGAGAGTCTCAGAAGAAATCCTAATTCGAATTTCCTCGATTTTTGAAGAGGTTGGGAGGGAAAATCAGGGATCTCTAATTTTTTTCTAGATTCACAGAATTCTCTCTTCGAAAAAAAAAGTGATCTTCGAAAATTCAGAAAGACGTCTAGGTTTGAGAAGAATAGGCGGAAATTCAAGAAGGGTGACAGAAGTGCTCCGAACGACCCTTTTGAAATTTTTCGAGATGTCTAGAAATCCGAATTTTAGAAATTTCGGAAATTCTTCGTTTTCTGATTTTCAAATGTTCAGAATTTCGGAAACTCACTTTCCATATAAATAATTTAAAAAATTCACTAGCAAATTTCGAAAACGCTGAAAAACTAAAATTAACTCCACTCAAAAATCACGATGAAACTTTTTAGGTGCACCTTTGACATACCGTAGTCCAAAAAGCAAGAAAATGATTTTATTATTCTCAAATTGTAAATTTTGACTTAACATTTTCAAATTATGTTAGGAATTTTTCTAGTAAGAATTTGATTCCGAAAAATATCAATTTTCGGAATTCGGAATTCCGTTCCTATCACCCTAGATGAAAATATTTAAAACAAAATAAGCTCCGAAAACTCATTTTAATTTTTCCCAAAATTCCAGGCTATCACGAGGAAGGCAAACTCGCGCGTGAGTCCAGCGAGGAGATCTACGCCTCAGACAGCGACCTGGTGATCCTCGAAGAAGACTACGAGGACGACGACGAGGTCGAACAAGTGACGTCGCTCTAAATATTACAACATTTTTCATCCAAACACTGAAAAAAACAAACCCCATAATTGATATTCCGAATGATATTTGACTCTTCATAACGGGTCCCCAGCTTTTTTGTTACCGCTTTTTTCCCCTTACTTTTCTGTCGCCTAGAAACGAAAAGCTACCAAACTCAGCAGTCTCTCTGTCTCTCTCCTTCCCCCAGCCATATTTTCCATCCCAAATTCAAGAAAATGTGTAGATTTTACCATTAGCAAGCTCCCCAACACTGTCCCCATCTCCATCAAATTTCATAATACGTTCTAATCATTGTCATTATAATTGAAAACTATGGTAGTAAGTATTATCATAGTTTTTTAATTTTCCTCCTCCTGAAAATATTTTGTCTTAAACTCTGAATCTTAAAGATTTTTTTATGTATTCCCTATTATGCGTAGAAATGTAATTAGAAGACATGACTCGTCATTTCTGGTGCAATTCTTGATTTTCGATGCAATTCTTTTTATTTCATTTCATAACGATAACGCATTACATGATTAATGATGAGAATATGATTTATAAATTTATTCAGTCTGTATTTTATTGTTTTTGAAGTTTCAGGGGGAAGTCTAGTGCTTACCATCGATGGCTTCCAAGTACTGTTTTCGGATGAACAGGGGCAAGATGAAGTGTCTGAAATTGTAAGAATATACATTTCCGGCTCTAGTTGGTTATTTTGGATTTCGATAAAATTTTTAAATCTAACCAAATTTGTTTTTGAACCATTTTTAGCTTTTCTCACCATTTTCAGGGGTCTGAGGCTCGGCTGGCAAAGTTCCGATCGTTTTGAAAATGTTAGAGAATGCGAAAGAGACTTGAATTGAAAACTTTGCATTCGCCAAATTTTTCGAATTTTCCTAGATTTTTAGCTATTCGCCGTTTTCTGAAAGACACTTTTTTCCCGGTTTTAATACCAAAACAAACCAAAAAAGATGTCTTTTAAAAATTGGCGAAAAGATGAAAACCTAGTAATTTTTTTTTAATTCTGTAAATGCTCACATCAGTTTGGAATCTAGATCTGTTTCACACCTTCAAAAGTTTTCGAAATGATCGAAAACTCAATAGTCGACCACCAGATCTTGAAAAATGTCAAACCCAAAAAGCAACTGAAAATTACGTTTTTGCACATCTCATTGACCGGTTCTGTTTTCAAGTTTTAGTTGGTTATATAGAGTTTCATGTATTTTTGAATTGAAAAAAAATTTAAAGGATAGTTTAAAGAAATGGGATTTCAATAATTAGATTTTCAAAAAATTGAATTTTTTAAAATTGGATTTCGAGAAAATATCGAATTTCCAAATGTTGATTGGATTTTAAAGAACTTGAAAAACAGTAAAACCCAATGATTTACTACCGTAGCGTTACCTGAAAGGAATAAACGCTGCAATCACTATAGGGAAGACCATTTCGACATAGTGGTATTGAGCAAATCCGATAGCCACCAGCACAACAAGTTGGATAAATTCAATCATTGTGAATTGATGAATGACTCTTTGTGGAACGCGTCGGATGTAATGAGTCGGTGGGTAGGCACGCTATAAAGATACAGTACTAGAAATACTGAAATTTCCAAACCCACCTGCTCAGTAAAGATCAGAAGGATACGCTCCCAGAACTCGTTTCCAGTCAAGCTGCTGAACGCCATAAAGAGAAAGACGCCTAAAAAGTATCTCTAAAAATTGTGGGGTCTGGGTTACTGTACCATTGAAAATTGAAGTTGGGATGAATACAGTGATGTATGGAACAAGGAAAAAATAAATTGGGATCATGACCAGATGAGCAATCAAGGTAGCCAAACGAGTTTCACGGACGTGGACGATTCTGGAAGACATCAATCATATCATTGTTCATCGGGTGATAACAACATGTGACAAGTTTTTTTGTATTTTTTCAGACATTTTTCGTTTTGTATCAAATCAAATTTTGAAATGTTTTGATATATATATATATTGTTTTTCTCCGTACACCGTTTGAATGTATCCGTTGTGTAGACGATCCTCAACATTTGAAAGGGCCTTCATATGAAGGTACGACTGGGGAAGTGCTCCGTGCATCCAAGGTATTCCAAACATCGAAAGGCCAATGTTCAAAATTCCAACCACAAAGAGGTCCCAATGATGGGCGGATCCTTTTTTCAGCCTATAAGGAAGTGATAAAAATTTATTTCTTTCGCAAAAAATCTTCACCCACTTGTTGTCTTTATTGTCAACAGTGTTGGTAACCAGAAGTTGATCCATAAAAAAGAGAATAGCGAGTGGAAGGGAAAGTCCGAGGGCTGGAAGTTGAGCAGCGGCAGGGAGATTGTAGAATGGGATGAAATAAGCATCGGTTTCACGGGGGAAAATTTTGAATTGGTGTTCTACAAAAGATTTTGTTGGCTTAAAGTTCAGTACTAATTGAATTACTTCTGACGTCGCTGAAACCAAAGAACGAAATGAATGCAAAAACAAGGACGGCGATCGGGAGAGCATAGTCAGATACCAGGTCGCGCTTCCATCTAAAAATTATATTGAATTAGGAAATTGAGTTTTCTGAAATTCGAAAAAATAGAAAATCGGACAAACAGTGTTTTGACTATTGGAAGATAGCGTGAAACCTGTAATGGAAGGGCACTCATACTGTCAAGTACAAAATTTTCTCAGTTCCTATGCAGGATATCTTAAATGTGTCAACTTTTAAAATTATGATTTTTTGATAAACAATTTATCAGTAGGCAACATTTTCATATTTTTGAAAGGGACCGAGTAAAATTGGCTCAAATTTGAGAGCTAGATCAGATTACAGGCTTTACGATAATCATTTTCGAAGATCTGAAAAGTATGTCAGAATTTTTCAATCTGCCTGAAAATCTCAGAGTATTTTAAAACAATTAAAAAGTAACTTTCAGCAATTGAATAAGGAAGTTAAAATATTGAAATAAGCAGTTTTCAATTGTCCCAACTATCAGTGTTTGTGTTGGTTTATTGAACATTTTTCTGAAATGCTTTTCACATGGCTTTGAAATCTACATTTTTCCATTAAAAATGAATATAAAACACCTTTTTGTCCGATCTAGAAACTATTTGAATGCTTAAAAAAATGGGGGTGCGACATTTCGTGATTCCAGAGAAATCCGTACCGGATTGCTGCTTTTTTTAATTGTTGTAGTTTTAGCAACATTACCTCTGATCAGACATGAGCAGAATAAAAATTTTGAAAATCCGGAATAAGGAATAAGGAATAAGGAATAACAATTTAAAAATCCGGAATACGGAATAAGGAATAGAAAAAACACCCGGAATAAGGAATAAGGAATAAGGAACGAAAGAATTTCCAAACGAAGGAAGATTTCTTTTTGTCTTGAAAAACACTGTTTATTTTAAAACACGAACAACGAAGAGAAAACTCACAAACCGAGACACAAACAAGAAAAATGGAGAGGGAACTCTCAAACTAAAATTAAAAAACTAAAAAAACAAAATCATAATTGTGAATAATCAGTTTTCCAGGCCATAATTTTTCATATTGAGTGAACAAAAATTTAATTTGTCAACAGTGTCGTTATTCAATCAAGTTTATTTCGAAAAAAACGCTGAGAAAAACGCATAACTTTTCCAAGATTTCCAAAAAACATTTTTGAAAAACGGTGCAAAGGTGCTCCGCTGAACAAAATGTTACGTGGCAATTCAGAGCGTTCAAATTTTTTTTCCCAGTTTTGAGAATTTTTTTCTGATTTTTGATAGAAAAAGTTTTGAAGTTTTGTAAAGGAATAACAAAAAAATCCGGAAGAAGGAATAAGGAATTCCGCTCATGTCTGCCTCTGATACAGACCCACCCTATACGTGCTCTTTGAGCTCAAATATCCCGGTTCTTTTGAAAGATATAAAAATTATGCCAACTAATAAAATGTTTTTTGCAAAATCACCATAATTTTATCAATTGACGTTGTTTCAATATCTCTCATAAGAACCGAAACAAATAAGCTTAAAGTAAACGTATAGGGCTGGCTTCAGCAAATACGGTATATTTCCAACTGCAACAATACCTGGAAAGATATGGAGAGCTTCTGAAGGAGATGATCGTCATCGATAGCCATGTAGTTCCAAACAACAAGAACATGAATAGAAGTGGCTCGGCAGGATCACAGATTGCCTCTGGCCCTCCATTAATACATCCGAGGTATCCGTGAGTGTATACATGGACGATTGCGACAATAGCTTTGATGAAGAGTGCAAGAGCAATAAAGACCGAGAAGATCTCTTCAGTGGATCTGAAATTTTTTGTTTGATTTGTTTTGTTTTTCCAAAATGGTTAGAAACCTAGTTGTGAACTTCATAAGAGATGCCAATTGGAATACAGCAGACAAAATCAGAAAGCCCATTGCATAAATGCCAACGGTGGCGTACATTTGAAAGAAATCCCAGTTGTTAGTTTGGCAGACTTGATAAATTACTGAAACTCTTATCACTCAATTCTGACCAATTTTCCTAAATGTTACCAGAGATATAGATACTTAAAGGTGCAGAAGTCGAGATGATTAGGAGCTGTTGGCCTCCGAAGATTCCAAAGAACAAACTTCCAATCCATTGTCCAAGTATAACTTTTTGTACATCTGAAACCATTTTTTTCCGAGTACCAATTTTGAATTTTTTAGTGCATACTGATCATTCCTTTTGTATTGTTTTCGTTCAACATTCCATATGCGATTGTTGTCGGTAGTATAGTAAAAATCAGGAAGACGGCCGAGGAAATCACTTTCGAGACTGATCGACGATCCTTGATGCCTGGTTAACTTTCAAAAATTATTTTGATTCGAATTTTCTTCCCTTACCATCTACGTAATCCGATTTATAATTTGCCCAACGACGTCGGAAGTCTTTCACGATGCCACGGAAGGGGTAGTAGGGGCAGCAGGTCTGAAATTTAGGGGTTAAGATATCGTAAAACCTGTATTAGAAGGGCCCCTGAAATTGAAGGGCCCCTCTAATTGAAATGCCCCTAGAGGCCTCACGAAAAATATAAGTGCTCCCTCTATTTGAAGGGCCCTCTATTTGAAGTACCCTCTCCAATTGAAGTGCCCCTTTGACTACTTTCATTGGTTTTCAGCCGTTTCTAAAAATTCTAGCGATCAACATCTTACCAAGAAATCTGAATTTAAATCCCACTAAATTCAAAGAAACCAATTTCGTTTGATACGATAGCGGATTCAAGGACGAGGCCTCGTAAATCGACACAAACGGCGCCCGCGAAATTTTCAGGTGCCAGTTTTTGCTTTTTCTTATGTAGAAATCGTAATGGATTTTTAGTAGAAAAACGAAGTTTCCACTAAAAATGATGCCCCTCCAAAACAAGATCCGTTCTCAGAGGACCACGAAAAATACAAGTGCCCCCTTTAATTGAAGGGCCCCTCTAATTGAAGTGCCCCCCCTAGGGACCCAACGAAAAATAGAAGGGCCGGCCCTTCTAATACAGGTTTTACGGTATCCATGGATATCTGCAACTATCTTTTTTGTGGAAAGCAATAGTTCTTACCGATTTCTTGCCATCTTTTTCATAATCATCATCGTCATCTGGGATTGGAACTCCATTGATTTGAATGGTCATTTGTTGAGAGAGACTTTTGGCACTGTCGGTCAGCAAGTCACGAATCTGAAGCACCAATGATTAAAGAAAAATTATGAACTTTGATATGATAAATAATAAGGTAGGCAAACCGGTTTTCTACTTTTTTGTTAAAAAATAAACAAAACTAAAAAAAGAATTCCTCAAACCTGATCATCGTCGGCCGCATCTGTCATAGATTGGCGGAGGGAGTCATTCATCAAAAGGGTACCGAAGGTTCTAGCAATTTCCGCAGCTGACTTGGTGTGCTTCTTAAAAAAAACAAAGGAAATTAAAACCATTAATAAACCAACACACATACCTCGTAGCTCGGTGAAAGAATAAGCACTACGATGCGCGCCTCTTCCATCTCCAAACCGAGATTGGTGGCATTTTCAAGAGTGGCGAGAGCCATATGACTCTGCTTCAAACCATCCAACTGGGCGCTAAAACGGTTTATGAGGAAAAGAGAGAAAGACAGTATGACTAACTGTGTGACAATCCAGGTTTGATTCACATCGAAAAAGTCGGTCCCAGAGTAGCTTTGGAGCTTTTGATGAAGGCGTGGAGCACGCGCATCACGATCTGACACCGAGAAAACGGCGTTTTTGAAAAGGGCCAAGTCAAATCTCTCTCTGGGAAACTGGGATGAGAGTTCGGAGAACAATCTGAAAAAATGTTTTTGGAGCTAAAGGGAACGAATTGTGTGAAAGCTCATGACTTTTAATAGCTACCGTAAACTCTATAAAAGAATGCCCGTCCCCTCAAACCGTGAATTTTGAGCCCGTACATCTCATTTCCAGCAAAAGATATCGATAAATAGTCAAATGACAGAATTTTTGCTACAGTATCAATAGTAATTTGTCGGTTGGACACTTTTTTAATGTTTTAGACTGGAACCGTGATGAATTGGCTAAAAGTTAAAAGTTAGGGGCATTTCAATAGAGTTTAAGTTAGAATACATTCATCTATTTCCTCTGATAGAAGCCCACTTAAACTGTCAAGTTTTGGTACAAATATCTTCATGACTGTGAAAGATATCAAAAAATTGTCAACTGATAAAATGTTTATGATAATATCAATAATATTTGATTAGTTGACAAATGTTTTACATCTTTCATGGCGACCGAGATAATTGAGCTTGAAGTTAATAGTTCAGGTGGGCTTTTATTAGAGGAAATACATTCATGTGAAAACCATCACAATTAGCTGACTGATAAATTATTCATCAAATTATCACCAATAGCTGATTATCTGACACTTTTTTGATATCTCTCATAGGAAGCAAGATCATTGAGCATGAAATACACGTATGAGACGGTATTCTTCAGAACAAGTACGGTAATAATGCCAATTCAAAATAATTGTTTTTCAATTACATTTCCTACAGTATTCTTCTGCAACTTACGTCAACAGTATAGTGTGGATATGAGAATGATCCATATTTCTATGAATAATGCCTCTCTGGATCAAATGGTCCACGTCCATCAGCCCACGGACCTCGGTTTTGAAGTTTCTCACATGTTCGACTTTTTCCGTACGACAGAGAAGTTCAGGCATAGCTACTGAAAAGGTTGTGCTACGCAAATTGAATTTTAAAACAGTAATTTAAAAAAATTATAATTAAAAAAAGTTATAATTAAATCTACCGTATAAATTCCCAACCAATCCGTCAACTTTCAACTCAATTATCTCAATTCCTGTTCAAGGTAACAAAAGTTTGTCAACTGATATATTATTTATCAAGATAGCACCAATAACTTATCGGTTGACAATTTTTTGATATCTTTAACAAGAATCGAGATATTTGAGCTCAAAGTTGGTGGATGAAATGAGTCTCTATTAGAAGAAATGCGGTACAGTCATATGATTGGAATAAATAATTCAGAGATCTTTTTCTTTTGCATAGCCAAATAAAAAAGCCAAGATTTCAAATCCATTCCTTAATTTTTTGTCGAAAGCTCATAAAAAAGAGCCATAAAGGAATAGAGACTTAATTGGCTAATAAATTTGTTTTCCATTTTCTTTTTTTTTCTTTTGAATCTTTTTTTCTACAAAAAAAATAGAATTTCAACATATTCTGAATCGAAAAAAAAAAGAAATGTAGTCACAAAATGAAACTCGACTGTGCACAAAAATTGAAATGATACTTGGTGAAATTGTCCGGTTTTTTTCTCCCATTGACGCCTAGAATTATGCAAATCTTGGCACAAATTTTGCTTTTTTCCTTTTTTCCATCGTCACAATTTATAATCCAGACAGTCTCTTTTTTTTGCATAGAAAAAAAAAACCAAAACTCACTCTTGTCAAATGGCAATGAAACGAATTTATTCATGAGTTTCAAGAAAATAGGCATTTTCCAAAAATAAAGAAAAGGAATGAAAGTAAAACGGAAAGAGGAGCAGTTCAGTTTATAGGTACCAGCAATTGAATTTTTATTGCGTGCAGAAGACGTTCTCTATAATTCTCACAACGAAGACGGAGGAGCCAAGAGGCGGAGCTTAAAGAATGACTCTGTTTTCTTTTCCCTCTCGATAGATGAATTCATCAGATGCGAAGCGCGAGAGCCGTCACAACGTCGAGAGAGTCGCGGGAGATGGCCGCTTGGAAGATTGAATCGACCCATCTGAAAGTTGGCGAAAAAAAGTTAATTGAACTTTTGTTGACGACGACTATCTGATTTTGGCTAGACAGCCAGACTTTAAAAAAGAGCTGTATGGAAAAAGAAAAAAAAAACTAAACCTTTCGAAAAAGTAATAGGAATCTGTTCGAAAAAAGTAGGTGTGCGAGCCATAGAACAATTTGAAGCAGTTTTCATGATTGTCAATGTTGTCGACTACGGTAGGAAGGCCAACACCGTAATCCATGAGGGATAAGTGAGCGAGAGGTTCTCGATCCTGAAAAAATTGTGGAATAGATTTTGCAAATGTCTTATTCTCTCGAATAGAAGCTCACCCAAAACGTTTGATCTCAATTTTATTTCTACGAAAGATTTCCAAAATTTGGCAACTGATAAAACATTGGTGATATTATAACAATTATTTTTCATTCGACAAATTTTCGATAGCTTTCTAGGAACCGAGATAATTAAAGGTGGGGGGACAGGAGATTTTTCGTAGTTTTTTTGTAGCTAGAGTATGCATTCTACCGTCACGGTGTACAACGCTTAATGTCACTCTGCGTACAGCTGTCGTCCTCGCCATTATGTATGCAATCGGGCGTGCGCTTTCTCTTTGCCCGCGTGGCACATTCGGTAGCGGCGCCGCACCCTCAATCCTCGCCTTCACAAGTTCAACTCCTCGAGGGGCATCTTTGAACGGAATTTCGAGAACATTATTTTTTTTCATGTCCCCCCACCTTTAAGCTTCAAGTTGACAGTTTCGGTATTCTCAAAAAAAAATACGATAAATGAATTTTCAGGAAGTATGAATTATGGAATTTTTAAAATACGGGAGACATTGAATTTTTTTTTCTAGACAACTCGTTCAGAAAATTCTTTTCATGGGCACTTTGAGTAGCTGAACTCGTGAGCCCCGACCAAGTTCCGAATTCACATCTATTTTTAAATTCATTTTTGAGGGTTAAAGTTATCTTCTAATCCAAAATTATCTTTTAAAAGTCAAAATTAAAGATCAAAATTGATTTGTAGGATCAACATACTTGGCGAGAGTCGATAATTCTATTTTAGAATCTGAGTCAAGAGTGTGAAAAGAAAATTACTGAGTTTTATACATTCCGATTTTTTGAAATAAGAATCTCAGAAAATTCTGATTTCCGAATTTCAAGCTTTCGAAGTTTACCAGTTACAAAAAGCATTATCCATTTTGCTGTCAGAAATTAAAAAATCAAAAAACGCTAACTTACATTATGACTTCTATAGAAATATAGTGTATGACAGCACATGACCACCCATAAATCCTGCCATCCAGCAGAATTCCTCAATTTTCTTTTCAAATATCCACACATTGTATTGGTAATCATTTTGTTCACATCCTTCCTCCCAAATGAGCACTTTCGGTACCAACATATTTGAAGAGGGCTCATTTTTGAAACAGGAGATTCTTCCGGAAGAAGCACTTTTGTCACTGAAACTTGCGTATCAATCTGGGAAACCGTCAAAGTTTGGGAACTTACTATCTATATCATTTTCCTCTTTCTTCTCCATCACAAGGCTAGGAAGATCGATTTTCGCCCTAGCTGCGTTTTTGATAGCTTCTGTGATATCTTCAATCCAAGATGCGCGGTCCGGTGCGGCGAATACAATTGATATGTCAGCATTGTGTAGGGTGATGACATCCTTCTCGCCATCCATCACTTTATAGGTGTCTCCCTCATCAATCTGAGATTCAAAAAAAGGTAATTGAAATTCTTAAAATGTTAAATTACCATCATTCCTTTTAATTTAAACTCTGCATGAACTGTAAAAAAATTTCCGTCAAGATTCGCGCCGCGGTGTCCGAAAAGTATCCGATCGGAGCACAACACCATAATTCGACAACACGGTGCTCGTCGAGCAGACCGTAGCACAAACCCAATTCTTAGGATTTTCCGATTCGGATGGGTCAGAATGCCAACCAGGCCTGTATCCCGTTCCACTTGTAGCACATGAATGTATCTTCCAGTGACTGACGAGTGGCTTTTGTCTTTTTTGCAAATTCTATAATTTTATCCATCGCTACACCAAACGCAGTTGTTTCCGTATCACTTCCACACTCGGATAGTTGAATTTCAATGATTCTTGCAAGAACTGGTTGCCAGTTTATCAGACGATTCAGTATTTTCAACAATAACCAGTTCACTTGAGTATAGCATTCTTTGGACGATTCGAATTTTCTGGAAAAAGAAAGAAGTGATTTCTGGAAAAAGGGAAAATAAACAGTTTTGAACTCACGACATAATAGTCCGGAATCCGATTTTCGAGCGGTACAGCTGGTCTAATGCTGATATGTAAATTGGAAAATTCTGAACTAGCGACTGATAAAGAGGCGTCAGATTGTGTACCGTGGCAAGTAAAACCGGGGCTACCAGTGCAGCTTTGGAGTCGTCCGGTCTGCAATTTTCCAGTTTTTAGGAATATAGATTTCTAAACATACTCTCTCATCGATTCTTTCAATGCATCTACAAATGGTTGATGGATTGGAGGCAGTTCTTTAAGTGAACCGAACAGTTCTTTGAGAAACCGACAATCTGCCACGTGGTCTTTGATTTTGTTGAAGAATGACTGAAATGAAAAAATAGATAAAAATTATAATAACAAGGAAATTTTACCTCATTGACAAGTTTCATGTCTCTTGCGTAGACAACTTCTTTCCAGTAGAACTCTTTCAGCACGTTGGCAAGTTGGGGTTCTGGTTTTCCAAAATCCTAAAAAAAACCATACATAAATAAATCTGGTAAAAATCCCAAAAGTTACTTGAACATTTTTTTTTCACTCACAGTACATACATTTAGTTATGTAAAATCGACTTTTCCGTTGATTTTTAACCATTTTCAATACTTTCAGGATTTTGAAACTCGACTGTCAATTTTCCAATAACTTTGAAAATTGTGGAGGTTGTGAAACAGACCTACATTTGAAACTTTGGGTTCACAGGATTTTTGAAAATTCCTAGTGTTTTTAAACTGTTTGCCAATTCTTAAAAGACACCTGTGTTTTCAAGTTTTGAGTACGAAAATGGGGGCTCTAGTTGGTTTTTTTGGATTTTGAAAAAAAAATTGGATTTTAAAGAAAATTTTAGATTTTGAAGAAAATTTCATATTTTAAAGATCTTGAAATACATTAAAATCCAAAAATTTCTTTAAAGTACAAAAATAACCAACTAGAGCCAAAATGGGCCAAAAAGGGGTGTCTTTCAGAAATCGGCAAATATCTAAAAAAGGAGTTTTCAAAAAGTTTAGTGAATACAAAGTTTTTAATCTAGGTCTGTTTTACACCCTCCACAGTATTAAAAGTAATCGAAAACTAGACAGCCAAGCACCAGACTCCTGAACATGGTCAAAATAACCAAAAATCTACTAAAAATAAGTTTATTGAACATCTTAGTGAACGGTACTGTATATAAATCTGAGAGAAATGCAAAAAACTAATTTTTCTCATCATTCGAAGATTTTTATTTTTTAAACAAGGAGCCGCGGAATAAAGAACAAGCTTTGACCCAAATTTATCTGGGCTCATGTGAAAGATAAAAAAAATTGATTTTATGGTGAACCTTTCTTCCACATGAACCGGTATAAATTGAATCAAAGATAGAAATTTGAGAACACTTCTAATACAGGTATAACAATCACATCAATATATATATATATATATATAAATTTGTCACTCACCTTCCTAGTAATATAATACTCACTGCTACAACTCGGCGCATAATTGTCGATATCATTCTCCAAGCCCATCTCCATTTCTTTAGACGGAGTGCCAACACTAGCCGTACTCTGAGACGTTTTCATAACCGCGTAGTCGTGTCTCAGCTGGTGCTCCGACGAGTGCTCTCTTCTCATAAGCCTTAACGAGTCACGGGACCCAACAGTCGGGTCTCCAATCGACACGCCTCCACTGTCACTGGAATCGAATCTGGTGAGTTCGGTGGTGTCATTTGTGCTTCGTGACATCCTTTTCCGTGGTTTTCTAGAAAAAAATTTAGAATGTTTCATTTGAAAATGGAGAATTTTAATACTTGTTAGGCTTCAAAATAGGCTCTGATGTGCAGATGGTTTCTGAGGAAAACGTCGAATTGATTCCGATTATAACGTCTCTCTTCTTGTTGACAGATTGGTATAAAGGCTCTTGGATATCTGAAATGTGTTTTGTTGTCTGAAAGAGGCGGAGCAATACAATGTTAGTTACAATATCGAGAAGCAACAGAAATATATATATATATATATTTACGTATTTTCATTCGTTTTTTTGGAAAAAATAAAGAATAGAGTTACAATTAAAAGAACCGAGATCAAATACAAATTAAGATTAAAAAGGGTTAACAGCTAAAAAAATATAAATAATGAAAAATAAAAGTGCATGTATGTGTGTGTGTGTATGTAAGGGGTGTGGGATAGCGAAAAGACAGAAAAGAGAAACAGGACATATGTAAATCAATAAAATTACAGTTAATGGAAAGAAAAAGAAAAAGGAAAAAAATGATGGTGATGATGCTAAAGCAAATTGAGAGAAGGTTTAATTGAGTCAAGTCGCTTCTAGTTCATTGTGTTTCAGTGAAATGCATATATCAATCGTTTATTGATGATACTTTTGAAAATTTGCAAAGACAGTAAGAGCATGTGTGTGTGTGTGTTTTTAAAAAAACAGGATTATTATTGTTATTATGTGAATGAAAAAAGCTATGTATCTATGAAGCATGCGCAAGAACATGCAGAAGTGAAAGACATAATTTCTGTTTTTGCATACATGTGGTGAAAAATCCAAATTTTGGATCAATTTTTTTGACAAAAAACTAGAAGCGAAATGACAGAATGAAACCATGCTTGAGAAGAAGAAGAAGTCAAACTAAATAAGGAAAGTGGTGCTTTTTTGTTTAGTTTTTCCAAAGAAAAATGATTTTTGGTTGTAAACAGACTAATAAAAGAGAAAGAAAGAGCAACACCATGCACATATGTGTATACAAAAGAAGAAAAAAAAATCTCACAAAATTATATATTAGAAATCTACCGTACTTGCTCTAATAGAAGCTCATCCTATATAGCTTGATTATCTCAGTTCTCCTGAGCGATATCAAAAAAACCGTTAACTGATAAGTTATTCATCATGAAATAAGCAATATTTTATCAATTGACAGATTTTTGACATCTCTCATGGAAACTGAAATAATTGAGCTTGAGAGGCTTCTATCAGAGCAAAATCGAAATTAAAATAAAAATTTCAAAAAACCAGCAATCACAACCACAAATTAATTTTCATGCAAATTGAAGGAAAAAACTATGATATAACAAAAAAAAATAGAATTAATAATCCGGAAAACAATCCTTATAAGGTGAGACAACTGATGGAGCTTCGGACGCGCTGCTATTCTTTGGAGAGTCATCGATGAATGGAGGAGAATCAGTGGCGTTTTTGGAATTTCCACTGAATGGCATCTTCCCAGCAGCCGCTGCTTTCATTTCTGCAACTTTGACAGCAGCAGCGAGAGATTTCGGTGGTGGCGGTGGTGGTGCAGGACGGCTCGTGGAGATTTGGGCGCGATTGAGAATCTCATATGGTGGCGGTGGCATTACATCACTATCTTCCGAATCCCGCCGTGATTTTTGAGACATGAAAGAGGATATCGACTGATTGTGAGGCGTGGTTTTGTCTAGACGGTCCATATCTTCGTGGAGGCTTCTGGATTCGGAAACGCATTCATCGAAAATGTCATCATTTAAAATTGAAATAAATGGCGTGGATCCTCCGGCAGTTGGAGAGCAGGGAGATGGTGGCAGGTCAAATCTGACTGGCTGAGTTTGCCTTCTTGGATCTGTCCTCTTTGTCTTAGTTTTGATAGCAGACTTATCTCCAAGCAAGCTTCTTCTCCTTAGCAGGTACTCCAAAACGTCGCTATCTGGAGTGGTAGGAGAGATAGTGTGGTCCTGTGCAGAGAAGTTACCAGGAGATGGTAATCGCTTCCGTGGCACAAGGTCCAGCGATTTTCGTCGCTTAAATTCAGGACTCTTCGAGACTCTTTTCAGTGAGTTTGATTCATAACCCTGCTTCTTCGCAGTCGCCACATCCTTGAATGTGGAGTACGGTAGAGATTGCGTGGATTCAACATTCCGCATAGTGAGGGTATAAGGGATGTCGCTGTTGAAGAGATGACATTTTTGAACATCTGGATTATCCTCGCTCTGAACTGAAATCAGCGCTGGGCGGGATAACGATGACTTTCGCTCCTTTTGCTCTTCGAATTTCAGGGGAGCTCGGGAGAATGGAATCTCCTCCTGCATATGCACCAGTGGATGGCTTGCGGCTCGCTCTGTTTTGACTTCTCTAACGATTTCAGTCTCTGCCTGCACAGCTTGGATTGGGAACGATGGCTTTGGAGGAGGTTTGGGCTTGGGTTTTTTCTCCTTGAACCCTTCTGGAGTTATCATCATGTTCTCTTTAGTAATGACACGTCCCGGTAAAGGGCCAAGAGCTCCGTAGGTGCCGGATTCTGGTGAGACTCTAGAAGAATGAGGTCCAGATGATGTCTCACGATCGTTGGATGAGATGACTTTGGGTTTCATCAGAACCGCACCGGAACTTGTTAGAACTTTTGACGTTGTTGTTACAGTAGTAGTCGTATTCGGAGTAACTCTGGTGGTAGTGGTAGTAGCGGATGGAGATCTTCGGGATGATAAGTCCACATTTGGTCCATCAATCTCTATGGGAACAATATTGGTGTTTCTTACAAATGGATATTCTTTGATATGCCGGAAAGTTTGATATTCAGATGCTGATTTAAGTGCACCTTCTTCATCATCAGTAGAATTCGGAGTGCTTTTACTATGAGCCACAACTCTTTTGACAACGTTGCTTCCTGGTTTTCTAGCAACAAAAGTGGAATTGAAGATGGTCGCAGCTGCATACTTGGATCCAACTCCCACTTCTGATCTGGTGCTCCTTTCATGATCAGATAACCGATAGGAGTCTTCACTAACATTATCATAATCACGACTAGACCTTCTCTGTTGGAAGTTGTCACCAGACACTGATTTCGGCGGGTCGTTTTGCTCCATTTCAATTTCTTTACACACCATTTGTAAATCATCACTAAGTACGTTAGGCAAAGAAATAGACAAATCAGGTTGCTCTTTCGAGTTGTTGGAAGAGGAAACAGTAATAGCATTAGAAACAGGTCTACAAGAAGAGCGTTGCGGTCGCTCGACCGTATCAACGTCAGAAATGCAGCGCTCACTGCGCTTCAACTGTCGAAGACGGTGTTGGGTAACTGTTGTAGGGGGGTCACGTGTCACTGATGTACCCACACGGGCATCTAATGTACCTGAGAACGAGTGATCGGCTGGTTGGGAAGAGATATGAGCGATGTGCGGCATTGAGGAGTGCGTGTTTTGGTGCTTGCTGTACGGGTTCGTTTGGTTCGGCTCGTTGACTGATCCATTTCGGTGTTTTGTAGGCCGATCAGAGACAAGACCGTATGTGGACGAATATGTTCCTTTTCGGGTAGATGCCGCGGATCGTAGAGGCCTGAATATTGAACTGGTTGACTTGGGCGATGACTGCTGAGGTATTTTTTTTCTTACTCTAACCTCAATTAATTCGGTTCCTATTTTTCAATAGAATGCCAAAAATGTATACGATTTCATTACCCTTTGACATATTTTATAGATTGAAACTTAGATAATTCAGCTGAAAGTGCTCGAACCGTAAAATATAATGCAATTCTGTACTAGAAGTTCGAAATATTTGTCTCGGTTAATTTAGGAAAAATCAAAATCCGTCAACTGATGAAATATTAGTGATAATATCATGATTAATTCATCAGCTGATTTAAGCTCAAAGTGCAGATAAAACAAAGTAGGCTTACATTAGAACATAATGGGTTGCCGTATTATTAAAGCATTGTAGGTTGTATAATCAGAGGAAATAAAACTAGGAAAACTCTACAAAGCTCAAATCAGTATTTTTTGAATTGAAAATTGGTTTTAAATATCATAATTGTATGATGCTAAACTTAAAAATGTTTTTTGACATCAAAGTTTCACCAAAAAAAAGTATACAGTATTTCTTTAAGTTTTTAAATACAAGTTCCAACATTGTCAGCTTAAAGCTTAATCATCTCAATTCCTGTTAAAGCTAGCAAGAATTTGTTAACTAAAAAAATAGTGGTGATATTAAGGTGAATAATTTTTGAGTTTACAAATTTTCAATATCTTTCACAGCAATTGAGATAGTTGAGCTCAAAGTTGATAGTTAGGAGGCTCACTATAGTTTTGCGATAATTTAAATTTTGGGGCAAAATCAGTGTTTTTGATTTTGATTAAAACAAGTTATCTGAATACTCTGTTACCAAAAATGCCTTACCTTGTGAATGGTTCCCTCCTCTTGTGATGTTCCCTTACATAGTCAATCAACTGTTTTTGTGTTCTTCCGTGATACCTAAAATTCACATCTTATTTCTTTCTTCTATTTCGAAATCTTACCTAAACGACGATCCTTTACTTATAAAAAATCGCGTCTCCTTCTTTGGTTCCTCAGCTTGAACACATCGGAAAAACGCGTGATGTTCAACACATTTCTTCCAAAAGTTTTTACACTCATCTCGAGTGTCAAACGAGAATTCGACGGTTTCTTTGAGGTATTGCTGAAACATTTTTGATATTTCTCTTCTCGGAAATTCCCTTTCTTACATAGCTATCTGGATGGAGCTTCACTAGCAACTTTTTCCTTTTAAAACTCAGTTTCCGAATCCTCGCCCATGAGAACGTCGTGTCTAGTTGCAGCTGTCGAAACACTTTAATTCCAAGATGCATCACCGAAAGTGCCGCATCGTTTCCGTCAATATCCTTTGCAGCATGCAGTTTAACCCCATAGAAATCACATCGTCTTGCCACTTCCAACATTGCCAAATCACTTTCTCCAGGTGTCATCCCGCTGCAAAACCAATTTGTCAAAGCTAGATTGGCAATTCAAAGCTTACATGAAATTCTGGTGATTATCCATCACCTTCTTTTGAAATTCTAGCGTTTGATTGGGCACAAAACGTGTGTGTGACAAGTAGGTGGCGTCTGGATAGTCTTCTGATGAGAAATCACCGCATTCTGACTGTAAAACGTAGTTTTAGATAGGGTATGATGGATAGGGATTACCTGAACAAGATAGGCGGATAACAGAGATGCAGTGTTATCACTGCAATGTAACTCGCCAAGTGCAAGATCCCGTTTTATTTGCATTGTGAACAGATACCTGCAAAAAATTTCATTATTGCAAAGTGGATTTTTCATTTCGAAAATTCGTAATTGGGAAAAATCTACTACTGTAAAAACCTGTAATAAAAGGGACCCTACTGTTGAATTTGAGCTAGTTTCTCTTGGCTCCTATGCAAAATATCAAAACTGTGCCAACTGATAAAATGTTTGTGATATTAAAATGAACAATTTATCAGTGAAAAATATCTTTTCTGTGCTTAATAGGAGATAAGAAATTTTGGCTCAAAGTTAAAATTTGCTACTGTATCACAGGTTTCACGGTTATGATGTTTGGAACGAAATACGGAACTTCGAAAATCTGAACATTTTTGAATTTTGCTAGTTTTGCTTACATTTACAATCGAAATTTTGAATTTTGTTTGTCAATTTCCACCAATTTTTTGAATTTCGAAATTCCGAAATTCACAAAACTAGAATATTGCGAAAATTCAGAAATTCCAAAATTTTCATAACCAAAACACTCCGAATATTCGAAATTTACAAAATCGAAATAACCCGAAATTTTGAAAATCCAAAAACTGAAACTCGTAATTTTCGAAATTCCGAAAAAGCCATTTCGAAGATCCCCGGATTTGCGGTACCTAAATTTCATCTTAAATTGTACAGATTACAGTACTTCGCTTTTTTGAATTCCTATCTTGTCCGAGGAATCCAAATAACTTGTCTGCTAAACCCAACCACCGTACCTCGTGATTAATGTTCCCTGTTTGTTTCTAAAATTCACTTCCTAACCCAAAACGACGTGAAAATTAGTCTTTGTCGGGTAGTGTTTCTGTGCCCCCTATAGTCGAATTTGTGTCAGCTGTCATTTTTCAACCGGGTACCCCCCCCACCCCCCCCCCCCTTCTTCTCACTATTCCACCACCACCATTGCTTTCCCATCTCCATCCTATCTCCCGCACACCACCCACTTCTTGTGCTCCTCGTCGCAGAGAGCAGCAAGAAATGTTTTTGTTCGTCGTGTCCCTCGGTGGGGGAGTAGCTCCTTCTTCTCCTGCACCTCTCCCAGAGCATCCTCTTCTTTCCCGCCGCCGTCCCTGAGACACATACACTCACATGTACACGCCACGGGGACCCAGGGACGAAGAGAGACTCCTCTTATACGATGAAGAAAATTTGCATTTCGCCATTTGTCATTTCACGAAAAATGTGTGTGACGGGGCTTATGAAAAATGCGGGGCACAATTTTCACGAAAAAGTGAGAAATTGAAAAATGAGCTCTTCGGAGATAAGATGAGCATATTTTTGAGTGACACAAAGTCTCACCTGGTGTATTCCTCCTCCAAGTCGATCGGATTCGGCGTGTAAAATTTGACGACAAAATAAAATTTTGCGTCTGTCGACCCGTTTGTGATTTGCCGTAAAATTGTCTTCTCACGATCCAACCAACACTGAAATGAGAGAAAAAAATTGTTAAAAGCACCTGGAGAAAATTCTAAATTACATGATTCCCATTGATATCGATAAAAGACAACCCAAAATAGTCACATTCCAGAAGATTCAGATGTCGACACACCTCGTCGAGCAATGTCTGTCCGATGGCTTTATGCTGGAATTTCAAATTTAGGATAAAGATTTTATAAGTAATCTTTTAAGGCAAAAAATCAAACAATTTTCAATTTTTAGGAAAAAATCAAAACTTACGCCAAGATGGAAAACGGCTACAGTATCATCCAACATTCTCACTTTGATGCATACCAGACGACCCCGTTTCGAAGAGTTCATACCTGGGGGTGGGGGAGCGCCCACCCCACGTGGAATATTTGACATATCCGATCTAAAAAAATTTTTTTTTTGATCAATGAGGTTAACGATAGAGACAATTATCTAGGAAAAAAACGGGGGCTAAGCTGGTGAAAATAAATATTCAGCTGGTAAAAACGAAAAATTTGAATTTCAGATATATTGTAACCCAATTTTTAGTACACGTCATTTCCTGCACCTGGAGATTCGAAAAAGTACAAAAGGACAGCTGAGGCAGACATAACGATTTCCTAAACGTTTCTCGAGAACCTTAGGACAGATGTTCTTCTTCTCCGTCTGGATAAGGACATTTTGCGAGAGGCGTCAGAAACTAATGAAATTCGGAGAACGGGGTGGGACGATGGCAAAACACAGGAGGAGCGGCGTCGGAAATGGAGAAAATGGCACCTCACACTATTGGGACTTATTGGAAGAGGATAAATGACAAACACCGTGACTGGGGTAAGATGGGCGGCGGCAGCGAAAAAAAAAGACAAAAGTCATTTGGAATGGAGATGGACAATGTTTTGAAACTGAAGAACTGAGAAGACGCACTTTTCTAAAGCTTTGCATGTTCTTAACATAAACAAATCGATCCTACAGAGGGAATTCTTGACGGGTGAAATTTTTTGGGAGAGCTTATTTTGTGAAAGATTCCAGAACGAACTACAGAAACCATACAGTACCTGAAAGTGTGATTTTTCTATTCCAAATCTAGATTTTCACTAGATTTATACAGTACCTGTCAATAATTCTATCAAAGAGGTTTTTTTTTCGGCTGATTTTTGGCTCATTTGACTTTCGCCATTTGCCGATTCCTGAATTGCCCCCTCGTGGCCCGTTTTTCGTACCGAAAACATGAAAATGTAATTTTCAAGCTATTAGTACAAAAACTGGCCAAAGCGATGTGTATGTCAGAAATCTGTAAATAGCTAAAAAACTAGGACTTTTTGAAAATTCTGGAAATGCAAAGTTTTTGATCTAGGTCTGTTTTGCACCCTTAAAAAATTTCAAAGTTATCGGAAATTAGACAGACGTGCTCTAGACTTTTGAAAACGATCAAATTGGCCGAATCACACTGAAAAATACGAATCACACTGAAAAATAAGAAAAATAAGTTTTTGTATATTCTAAGTACTGTAGTAGTCCAGGTCTAAAGAAGAAAATTGAGAAATTGAAAAACTCCAAAAACCTTAGCGACTCTTTTCAAGTTAAAACAGCTAAAAAATTAGACATGCTGATATTTCTGACTAGCGAAATTCCCACGAAATTAAGTGAGTTTCATGGCGGGATTTATTTGAGTGCAATAGATAACCAACAAATCGAAATCTTGTAATCTCCTCTCACCACTGTGCAAATAAAATGAAAACAGTTGCGAACAAACAAATCCGATGATTTTGATACGCGGAAAATTGAGAGATTACAAAAAATTTTTCCTGATCTTCATCTCCTCATTTTTTCTCTTCGAATATCAAACTCACAAAAATGTATTTGCGGATCTATTTTTCTCCTATTTTTCAAATGAGTATCAGAAGTCGAAAATTGTAGGAAATATAGAAGTAAAAAGAGAGTAAGACAATCCATCGGGGCCAGCTGATGTTAAGCCGTGACGACTGAGTTTCAAGAACATTGGAGCTTTCGGGAAGTAATATGATATTATCGTTCTGTGGTTTACTTTGGCCAAAAGTCTCATTAGTTTGAGGCTAGAGGAAAACCGAGAATTACGGAAAATGAGACGGCGGTACTGGAAAAAATAGAAAGTAAGAAACAAAAATAAGAGCAAGTGCTCAATTTGAGTTTTAGTCTCATTGTGTGCTTCATTAAAAGTTTCAACAAAATTTGTTAACTTGATTAATCTTGGGGACAATAGTCTTGGGAATTCTCGGAAAATCAGAAGTCACCAAAAAAGACTGGCCTCAACGAAAAAAGTCGCATTTTCTGTTTTTTTCTCGTCGGCTGTCCAATACATCTCATCTCGCCCCCCCCCCCCCCCTGGAGCCACCAGGAGACAAGGTGGGAGCACAATTGAGCCGACGAGGGAGGACACAATGAGAGAGAGTGAGTGTGTAAATCAGTGTGAATTGGAAGAGGGTAGTTTGAAGCGACAGTGGGAGCGGCAAAATGAAGGAGAAGACGACAAAAAGAATGTCGATTCCGTATGATCGATCTGTGGGTGATTGGGGTGAAGAGTCAGGAGAGAGAGAGAGGTGCAGACGGAAAGGGAACCCATGAGCACTCTCAGATTTATGTTTTTGAACAGAAAGAAAAAATAGTTTACAATTTGTTTTTGCAATGAACATATTTCAAATTTATTGTCTTTCTCTTTTTCTTTCTTTCTCTCTACTCGTGTCTTTGACAGATGTACCTTAAGATTTGTGAGGATGTTGTTGGGTCTAAGTGACATGATTTTTTGAAAGTTATTTTTTCAAAGAATGAGGAAAAAAGTGCACGTGCAGAAAAAACAACGGACCATCATAACTTTTGACATGTCACATGAGAGACCGATTTGCTATGCACTCAAAAAAAAACAAGTTTCGTTGAAATGGAGTACTAAAAGAAGGCTACTATAATAAAGAGTTTCCTATTTATCTTTTTGCAAAATTTGGAATTAAAAAATCACTGTACTTTTTTGGTAAAAGTTCACCTTATACTTGCTGTTAAGCTCAAATATCTCGGTTCCTATGAGAGATATTTTGAAGTGATCAATTGATGAACTATTTGTGATATTAGGAGGAACATTTCACCAGTTAACCGCTTTCCGATATCTTTTACACAAAATGAGCTATAGTACCGACCTATATAATCTACAAAAACGTATTTACAGTTTTTCTTCACTTTCTAGAGTCTGGATCTCAGCTGTCAAGTTTCCGATCACTTTGAAATTTTTGTATGCTGTAAAACAGACACAGATTGAACAGTTTGCATTAATTAAAACATTTTTTATTTTCTAGTTTTTCAGCTTTATGGCGATTTCTAAAAATTATCTGTTTTTTTTAAACATTATTACAGAAACACGCTCAAAAATTTTTCAAAAATCAATTTCAAAAATTTTTTCTGAATCTTATGAACTTATATGTCAGTAATCTGGAAATTTAAGATTATGACAATAAGAAAGGTTCTGTAAATGAAATTTGATTCAACATTTCGAAAAATGCGTGAAAAATTAAATTCAAAAACTGAAGCCTAATTTTCCACTTCCTAAAAGATCCTATGGCATACTTCACGTTGAAAATGGAAAATTCAAAACCTTTGTTCCCCCAAAACTGACACTTTTGATCTCGAAATTTGACGGACAAGGAGAAAAGTTTCATGAATCGCATTTACATCAAACTTTTCAAGTGGAGGGGGTTGCTGTCTCAACCAGCCGCAATCCCAGAGCTAATATACCCATTTCTTTTCGGAACGAAAAAAGTTTTCTTATTTCACAGAAAACGTTTTTTTTCTTCGAGAAATGAGACTTTAAAGGCAAGTGAAGAGAAGAATGAAGTTGTATGCTGCTTCAGTATCAAAAGAAAAGTGGACGGCGGACAAAAACGGCTCAAAATAGGGTAAACGAAGCCAACCACGACGACGACGACACCTCTGAAGCATCGTTGTGTTTGAGACAAGACACTCAACGGAATGGAAAAGAAGAAAAGAGGCTTTTCAGCAGAACCACCGGGACTCTCAGTTTCGCACGTGTTCCAATCTTGTGAAGCGCCACCCCTAGTTTTTGTTGCTCCTTGTGTCCCGGTGACTCCGCCCACTTTCTACCGCCGCACAAATCGGGAATCGTCGAAATGGGACCACAAGTATAGACCATCAGATTGGGGAGCTGGGAAAGGACGTTTTCTTTTCCAAAATAGAAGAAGAGAAAAGCTTCAAGATGAACATGAAAATAAAAACGACCGAGTGATGTGAGACGAACCGGAACCATCTGAAGGATGGACTGGGAGGGGCCGTTCAAAACACCAATTGCCTTTATGATTCAAACAGTGAAACATTACTGTCGCTTGTGTGCGTGTGTGTGTGTAGGCCGCTTTTTTCGATTTCTAATTTCTAATTAACTTCCGGAAAAGAGAAAGTGGGGGATTTCGATTGGAATCACATTCGCTCACCTTGCATATGCGTAGTCTAAACGCGCCATTACATGGCAGGTTGATCAGCCAATTCCTGTATCCCACCTCGTTTTGATCTGAAAATGTTGGAAATGTTGGAATGGGAATGATATGGATAAAGGGATTCGTGAAAAGTTGGTGTTTGAAAAAAATTAGAGAAAAAAAAGAGGTTAGGAGGTGGAGGTTAGTAGGAAGAGAGATTCAACCTTAAGCTCATTTTTCTCAATTCCTGTCAAGGATATGAAAAAGTTGTCAACTAATAAATTGTTTATCACAATATCATAAGTGTTTTGTCAGTTGACACATTTATAATATCTTGTATGAGAATTGAGACAATTGAGCTCAAGTTTGACAGTGTGGGCTTATAGTAAATCACTACGAAATTTTCAAATGTTCATCTAGATTTTGTCTGAATGGGAATGAACATAATAATTAGTGAACAAACAAAAAAACAGAAACTGAAATAATTTTCAGCAAATTGAAGTAAACAAATAACGGATGTCATTCTTTCTTTTTGACCTAGAGAAAAGTTGTTGAATTCCAAATTTTTTAGATATCAAAAATATAATTTCGATTTTAATTACTGTTGAAAAAGGGAAGAACCTACAGCTGTTCAATATAACCCAATATTTGAGCTTATGGGTTGAACACTTCTTTAAAATTTTTCCAAGAAAAGGATATCATATGCGGCCAAATTCACGGAATTTTCTTGTATACATTTTTACGTCTACAATACAAAAACGGACCAAAAGAAGGGGTGTCCTTCAGAAATCGGCAATACTGAAAAACTAGGAATTTATTAGAAGTTCTGCACATTCAAAGTTATCCATCTATGTATGCTTCACACTCTCTAAAATTTTCAAATTATTCGGAAATTTGACATCCGAGGTCCAGACCCTTGAAAATGGTCAACATGACCGAAAATCAAATGAAAAATACGTTTATGTAGGTATATCTTATGTTTACTGTACATCATTCGAATTTAGACACAAAATCTCATTGGAAACTATATTTTGCAGAATAAAAACTTTCTGAAACTAATATACAATACAATTCCTATTGAAGTGGATTACTAAAAATTCTTCTTTTCCAATGCTGGTTTCTTTTAAAAATTGCATTGTTCCCAAACAATGTTATTCTCAAGAATGAGAAGAAAAATTGAAAAACTCGGTTATGTTTAACACGTTCTCCCGTTTTTTTTACATCTCTCCCATCGCCGACAAAGATGCGAAAATAGGCGTGAGCCATTCAGAAATAATAGAGATGCGCGGTCCCGCCGCAGCTCTGCGCCGGACAGCAAGATGACCACAAAAGTAAAGCTTATAGGGACCACAAAAATCGAAAGAAGTGTAGAAGAAGAAAACGAAGAAAAAAGGAGCAAGAAAAAAAATAGGAGAGATGTAGACGAAGAGCAAAATAGGGATGAGAAGAGAAGGCGAAGGCCTGGGGGTGGCCGCCATGCTTTTTCGTTTCGCACTTCTTTTTTTTCGCTCCTCATTCCTCCTAGAAGAAAGTGCCCCACCCTTTCTTCTGCCCGTAATAGGAATGAAATGTGGAATAGTATGCAAAAAGTTTTGGGGAAGTGCATAAATTGATGTGAATACGCGGAGGAGAGGGGCGTGGTCCCATCCACTCTTCTTTTCTTAGAACACACACACACACAATGAGCTTCCTCTTTTGAGCTATTCTACAAAAAGACGTAGTAGGATAGATGGATGAAAAACTTGAGTTGTTGCAAAATGACAAAAATTTAGGATTTCGGGTCGCGGATAGCAGTTTCCTAATTTGGAAATATTGCTATATTCGAGATTCCAGTGGTGAGGTATTTTAGAGACATTTACCGATCTGTTCATCAAATTCCTACTTTTTCATTATATATTCCCCAAAAAAGGGAATGCTTACATATTCATTTCTGACATGTCCCATGAAAAATTATTCGGACACCGCCAACAATTATTTTCGAATAATCATTATTTTTCGCTGGAAGAAAGCTCGGAAACCAGAAGCACATATTATACTAGTCCCTAGGCCCCACAATGCCTTACTTCTCGGCTCAATTTCATGAAAGTATGAATGGTTCACGCTCCAATGAGCCCCCGCCAAAATCATCATCATCATCAAAATTTTTTGTTCGTTTCTCATAGTTTGTTTTTGTTCGTTTCTCATAGTTTTATACTAATACTGAACGAAGTGAATGATGATGGACAGCGGAAACAGAGAAGTTATAGTTCCTCTTACTTGGAAAAGAGATCGATGAGAATGGCGGCGGGGTCGTCGAATGATAAATAGAAAAATGTTGTGAGCTGTAGGATGTCTATGTGTATAACTACTATACGGGGGTCCATAGTTGGAGAGTTATATGGACGGCGGATGAGAAGAGGATGAAACATGACACTGGACATGGATATAGGAAGAGATGGAGGAAGGAAGGATGACGATGGGGTTAACAAGTGCTTGAATAAATAGGTCTGTCTGGGATTTTGGAATTTTTTGAAATTTGTGAAACTATATCGAGAGGTTGAAAAATCGAAATTTTGAAGTCTCTGACTATTTATTGAAGCATATGACTATAATTTCCTAAAAACCGTATTCCTTACAACAGAACGTCAATCTCATAGAATTTGCATCACAAGATTAATTATTTCTAAAAGATTTTCTATCCGGAAAATACTGATGGTATTTTGCCAAAAAGATTTCCATTTGACAAACTCTGTGTATCTTTTACAGGATGTGAGATACAGTACCGTTCACTAACTAGGGAAGGTTGTAATTGGGGGGTGGAACTTCGGTATGAGACCTATATCATTCGAAAGCTGAGAATGAGACATTTTCAAATATGTGTTCTGATTTTGCTGAGGAGCTACCAGTTTTGAAAAAATCGGGTTCAAAATCTGAGAAATTGCAAATGCAAAATGGGGACCCCATGGTGATTTTTTTTGCGAAATTAAAAAAAAAACTTGAAAACTTTATGGGATCATTTTCTTTTATTCAAAACTTATCTATATCTACTAGGCTGACGCTATAATAGAGGGAATTCGGTGAATTTCACTGAACCAGATATTGAGAGAATGTTTAATAATAATAATCGGTTCCAAACAAATTTCAGGTTCAAAATTTACCAAAAATCTATGTTTTCTGGATCTTCTATTTTTAAAAACACGATTTTCTAATGCTTGTAAATGTTTGAAGTTCAAAAAATATGAAAATATAAAATTTGTACTATTAGGTTGGAAGGAAAGTAACTGTCCATTTTTTAAATAACACAAAAACAAGAATTATCCAAGATTGGAGTATGCATCGTCGTGGTCCAGGACATGCTGGCAACAGTCACGAAACTCGTGGATACCATACCTCCTAAAGCCTCCTAAATCTCCTAAACATCAATAATAAAAGGACCAAATCAGGAGTTTGAGAGAGGCGTAAAGAAAAACCGACCAGCTGAAGCGGCTCATACCTTACTTGACTTTCCGTGGAACATACGATCTCTCTTTATTTAAGGAGAGTCAATTCAGTCCTAAGCGCTTTGGATGGATCGCTGTCCACATTTCTTAAACTCCAGACTTGACCCTTTTAATATTGGTTATTCAGAGATATGCAACGTCATCTGGAGGAAAAATAATTTTACACTGTCGATGAGATAAAAACGGCTTTTTGGGAATATTTTGGCTCGCGGTCAGCTGGCTTTTGAAGGGACGGTATCCACAAGTTACCTGAATGTTGCCAGCATGTCGTGGAAAACGACGGTGCATAATGTCGATCTTTTATAATTCTTGTTTTTGTGTTATTCACAAATTAAAAAATGGACAGTTACTTTCTTTCCAACACAATATTTGCTGTTAAAAAAATGCTTCTCATAAAACCTTAAGCTGATAAAACCAACCGGAAAAACAATTTTGAGGTAAGAAAACAAACATCTTAACGCTTTTTTAACATTTAAATTCAAAAATTATGCAGTTTCAGGGTTTTCTACAAAATTACTACCACTTTAGGGGTTTTAAAATTTTATAGATTACTATTTTGAGAATTCGAGACATTGCGGTGATGCCATAAAAAGGGAATTAATAGAAAACTAAGATCCAAAGATCACCATTAAGAATTATGGCATCCATCACAAAATTATTATTATTATTATTATTCGTTAACCACGAAAAAGAAAATGATGATGATGGACTTGGTCTCGAGCTATTTTAGCTGCAAGATGATGATGATGCCTTTAGGCGGCGACTGGACCAACGTCCCGGCAATTCAATTATGTCCGTTATTAAATGAAGACGTTCTGAACGGGATGTCATCAGCCGGACTTGCTCAAAACGGAAATTCGAAAGATGTCAAAATCAATAGAACTTTTCGGACGACCGGACGAATGAAGAAAAATTTGGTTACAGAGAGTGAAATGTTTTTGTTACTTGCAACAACTTGTGCGGCGGAAGAAACGAAAAACGATGGGGAGGAAAGAAAAGAAAAGAGGATGGGTTGAAGGCGAGGAGGAAGGAGTTGGGAGTCGTTTTATTCTATTACGAGCCGTAAAGCGGTCTTCTTGAGTTGTTCCAAAGTACTTTTCAGTCTCTTCCCCACTAGGCACTTTCATGGACCTCTTGAGAAGTTGCGTGGCTTTCTTTTTCCCTTGAAACAATTCCAACAGAATGTACAACACAGAATAATTCATTTTTCATTTTTCAATAATGAAACAACTGTGTCGAGGTTGGGACGGGGACAAAAAATGCAGTAAATAAAAAGCACAAAAGTTTTAACAATGGTTCTTTGGTGGGCGGATCCTAGATGAAAGACAAACATACAACTGGAAAATAGGATAGGGACACTATCGACTAGATTTGACAAAAAATAAAATAAAAATAATGCGCATGACGATACCTTAGCAATGAAATAATGATCATTTTACATTGTTATTGGGGAAACCCGTAGCTGGATAAGCGAACGAAACGAACAAAATGCGATTGCAAAACAACACCCAATGGAAATAGCACCTATGGTTTTGAAATTTAGATTATGTCGGTATGAGAAAAAGGAGAAATGATGGCACACGGAACTGAGGAGGACTATATATAGACTAAATAATGATTATATTATATTACAGGCTAGAACTATGAAGCTAGTAGAGGGGTGGGATTAGAATTTGGTGGTGACACTGAATGCAACTGGCGTCGCGAACATGTCTTCTGGAAGGAGAGCATGTTGTCCTGGCATCGGCGTGATAAGGGGGCGAACGCGGAAACTTCCTTCGACGATGAACGTGACACTGAAGCTTGCCGATTGCTTGTTTTCTTTCTGAAATATGACGTTTCGGTTTTTAAAAATAGATTTAGCACAGAAAGTCATAATTTTTATTTTCAAAATATTGGTTCCAATTAAACTTTCAGTGCCGTGTAATAAGACCAGCCTGTTTGCCGCGCCTACGGCGCTCGCGGCGCGAGATCGTCGTCTCGCTTCTTACTTTTTGAAAAACTAAATTAAATCTCTATGAAATTTGTTCTATGGACCTGCGAACTTCAAGTTTTATGGTAGATCAAATTTGGTGTGTGGGATTTTTCTCCTAGATATATGACAAACAAAAAAGAGGAGAGATTAGAAGAATGATGATGATGATATGCAAAACATAATTTTCTCTTGACTTTCAGCCATTCGGACCATTTTCAAGAGTCCGAAGCTCAGCTTTCAAATTTCCGATTACTTTGAAAATTTTGGAGGATGTGAAACAGATCTAGATTAAAAATTTTACATTCATAGAAATTTTTGACAATTCCTAGTTTTTAAGCTATTTGCCGATTTTCGAAAGACATCCTTTTTAAACTCATTTTTGTAATAAAAATGGGAAAGAGGTGCGTGATCTGAGAATTAAAAAACCCCAATGAAATAATTCTAAAAAGATGGACTTCCATGCACTTGCTGACATCTTTTTGTCTAAGGCTTTTTGCAAAGTTCAATTTGTTATTGTCTGTTTTATCTAAAAGAGTCCGACAAATGGAATTTCAGAATTTCTAAAAAAAGCTAATTTTGAATATCTAATGGGCAGCGTTTGTTCGTCTGTTCTTATACTGAAAACTAGGAAAAACAGGTGTATTTCGAAAAACAGACAACATTTGAAAAACAAGGAATTTAAAAAAAATCCTGTAAACGCAAAGTTCACAATCTAGGTTTTTTTACAACCTCCAAAAATCTCAAATAGATTGGAATGTTGACAGCCGAGCTCCAGAATGAATCTCCTGTCAATCCAATATTCACTTTTGATTTTAACTAGATCGACGGGATCTTCTAAAACACTCACATCAACAGCAAACGGAATCTTCTTAGCACCGGTGACTAGCATAAAATTGCCGGTATCATTCGACCCGAGCGAATGAGAGATTTCTTGTTCACACTCCAACGACAGCAAACCATTGTACTCCGCTGAAAGTTTTGAATTTTGAGAAAAATGATTTTAGGACGCCCAAAATTCAATATCTTACCTGCTAGAGATGAAATGATGGAAACTTCAACCGTGACAAACTGTCCAATGCCAACTGCCACGTCATCTTCACTAACGTACTGTTTGCCATTGACGTAGAAGTCAAGACTGATGGCAGGGAGAACGAGTTGTTTCAGAAGAGACACTGATGAGAGAAGAGATCCGACGGGGACTTGACCTTCGATCTGGAAAGAGAAACAAAGCAGATTCGAAAAAATCGGGGCATATTCTTACATTCAACGCTGGAATCGCCCAACGAATATCCAAATGCTTCGAAACATGATTCTCCAGAATCAATCTCAACCGTTCAGTTTCCATTTTCTGCATCATATGACTTCCGCGTTGTTTGGCTTGATGAAAAGCGCCTCCTGTGACATCCGAACAGCATGGTGAGAGAATCGGAACTCGACACGTCTCTTTCGGAAGCACATACATCCGCCTTGCATTGCTGTACACCAGTTCTGCGTCATGTTCAGTGCTGTTGGTCACATCAACCACGATGTACCTAAAAAAAAGTTTTTTTCCTGATGTTTGTAAAAAAGTCACCAACCGTGAGAATGGGCTATCTCCCGGGAGTACGTGCCATGCGGAGACGGTGACCGCCGGGATGATTGAAACTGCGATAGGAAGTTTGCACTTTCGCTCAAAAGAGTGTCCCTCGTCTGACGTAATGTCCGAGTGGTATCTCACGATGAATTCCGCGGTGAGAAGACGTCCAGTGAATGGGATGAGGTCCATGTCACTAGATTCTGTTTCAGAGTTTGCTGAGGTATTAGCCAAGGGGATAACACTTTCAAGAACTTTCTCCTCATCACTCAAATCATCAGCAGTAGATGTTGGATCGATTCCAAAGATGTGGAATTTGAGCTCTCTAGATCCATTGGGTTCCAGGACAAAGCTCGAAAGATCATCAGAAATTTCAAATCCATCAAACTCTGGGGCATGCGTCTCCGAATCGTCAAGTCGAATGAGAGGTGGACCTCCTTGAACAATCGGCTGCCAAATCTTGACACCGCAATAGCGAACCGGAATGTCACTGCTGTTCACAACTGTGATAGTGTGATCAAATTTTTGACCAGAATAGACAACTGCTTCTGCAGAAGGCTCCTCGTTGTCCTCGTCGATTGGAGCACGTGGAAGGGAGCATTCCAAATAGACTCTGGCAAGTTTGGGTAGGACCTTGACACGAATCTTGTTAGGTTTGTGACTATTCCCGTTGCTGGTAACAAAACGGCACTCGTTGTGAAGTCCAAAGATGTTGCAAGAGTAGCCAGTGATGAATAGGTCGCCGGGTTCTCTGAAAACAAATGTTGTTACAAAAACAGGTCGGCTCTTAAATACTGCCGGCTTGTAAATTCTGGTCAGAAGCGAATGATGTTGTTCAGAACAGCAATTCCTCGGATTTTTCTATTTCAGAGCGAAAAAAAATGTAGAAATTTGCCGCCTTGAGTTTTCTAGGCCATTTTGCTGAGCCACGGTATTCTGTGTGAGTTCACTTGCAGGAAAATCCATACGCCTTTGCTGTAAAGCTCGTAAATCGCTTCAACTTAAAGGCTCATTGAACTTTTTGAGAGTTCCTTAGCACGCAGGGCCGTGGCCTAGAAAACTCCAGAGTTATTGACTATCGAGGCGGCAGCAAACTTCTGATTTTGTTCACTTTGGATCACCGCATAAAAGGGCTTGGATTTTTAACGGATATTTGGCAGTTTCTGGAACTAGCGTTTCAGAACTAGCGCAGAAAACCCTTTTTAGGGGGCCATCACCCAATTTCGTCAGAATAACTTTCTTAAAATTTAATAAAACTCACTTCGGCACTCCCAAAAGTCGAATCGTTGATCCCGAATTGTTCTCCTCGTCTTCAGGTGGCAAAATGAGGCGAGCTTGAACCGGATCAAAATTCACTCCTTCGACAATCAGACAAAGATCACGAACGATCAATTCGGTCTCACGACAGTTTCTCACAGTCACCTCAACCTCGCCAGGACAATCGGTCACCCACAAAAGTGAGTTATCGACCTTTTTGCCAAACGGTGTGTAGATGAAAATCGACGCTTGACTCTTGTCGGGAACGATTGTTGGCACCAAATTCGGTTGGAGAGCAAGCACTGTGGGTGTTCTGCAAACAAATATTTGAAAATTAATAATAATAGTCATTTTGGCTTACTGAATAAGTGGGAATCTTGTCAGTTGAAGTCCTGGGATGATGATTTTCCCATCATCAACCACAATAGTCTGGCTGAGTTGGTGTACCGTGGGTGTGGCCTTTACCAAGTTGTCTAGATCATCAAAAAGTCGAGTCGTCATGGAACTGTCGAGATGGGGGTAGTAGACCTGAAACAGTTCAGCTTATAAGCATCAAAATTGCCGGTTCTAAAACGGTAATTTCTAAAATAAACGGTTTTAAAACCCTCCAGCTTCAGAATAGGCTTATTTCAAAATAACCGGTTCTATAACGTCCAGCTCTAGAACAGCGGGTTCTAAAACGTACACTTTTCGAATAGATATTTGTAAAACGTTCAGTTCTAATATAGCCAGTTGCAAAACGTCCTGTTCTAGAATTGTCGGTTATAATACTGCCGATTTCCAGAATAGCCAATTCTTAAACGTTCAGTTGTAGAATAACCGGTTCTGAAACACCCAGTTTCTAAATAGCAGGTTCTAGAACGTCCAGTTCCAAAACTACCGGTCCTGATGAAGCTCAGTTCTAGATTAGCCGGCTCTAGAGCGTCTAGCAAAACAAAATTCAAAAAAGTACCTGAAGCAAAAAACAAAGATGTCGAATCGCGGCATCACGATGGCCAGCACGATTTGCTGCTGTGAAAATTTCATGAAGAGACTTAATTTGAAGCTTCACTGGACCCAACTTCTTGTTCTTCATGTCATGTGGCTCGTTGAGATCAACACCGTACCCTTCGAGAGTTCTGAAAAATAGTTTTTCATAATTTTTGAGCGTTTTCAAAACTATAACTTACTTGAAAAGGACTGGATATACGGTTTTGTAATCACTCGCGTGTCGAACCCTTCCCTCTGTCACATGAAGCTCAAAAAGGACACTCAATCTCGCATAAAACGCTTGTTTCCGAAGAAACCCAATTTCTTTGTACATGGCTGCCGAGTTGAGACAGATTTGTGCTTTCATACGATGATCCATAAAAGTGTTCGCATCGTCGAGATATTTTCCAGTGTAGTCACGATGGAATTGCTCGAGTTTAATATACTCCCGCTCCAGAATCAAATACATAATTGCACGCATCACAGTCTCATACTCTAACCATCCGGCCATTGTGAACTTGGAGAACTCGTCAATGGCATTTTTGAAATTTTCCATGACTCGCTCTTTTGTTGGCTTCTCCCGCCTGAAATTCCAACTATTTAGAGTTGAAGCACAATTGCTCAGTTACTAATAACGCACCTATCACTAAGAAAGTTGGTGAGCGGATTCAGCCCTTTTGACGCTTTAATCTTGGTTGGTTCCTCTCGAATCGACGGCGATGATCCATTGCTAACAATTCCACTCTCATTTCCAAACGACTCATTCCTCTCCATACTTCCTCCGGACATTGACGAGTTTACCCGAATGTGTTCATCTGAATGGTGTCGTTTGTGTCCCTGTGGTGAGCTGCAAATCATTTGTTTTGATTTTTCCCTAGCCACTGGGATACCTGAGAACGCTGTCATTCGATACGGATAAACTTTCGCCGTTTTGCGTCTTGATTTCGATCGATGGAATTGTTAGCATCGCGTGCATGCTGGCAACGCGGTGAAACGCGCCGCAGTTAATCTCGCCCATCTGTTCCGCGTGAAGGATGCAGACCGTACTTGCCCATCCATCATATGCCGCTGAAGAAAAAAAGGAAAACGTTCGACCACACCCAAGATACATATATGAGATTACAAAAATCTGAAAGAAAGAGGAAAAACAAACCTGCAAGCCACAAATGATCCTGAGCGGATTTCAGACTCTCGATTGCTCCTTCATAAGCTTCCAGCGCCAGTTGAGGTAGGCCGGTGAGAAGACAGTAGTCCGCGTGTTGTTTGCGATATCTACCAAGACACTTCTTTCTGGAAAAATAAATGCAAATTCAGATTTTTTGCAGATAAATCGTTCTTGAGCATTAATTTCAAAATTAACACTTTTTTAATCGCAAAATTTGGCTGCGTGCCAGTTTTTAGAGACACGTTTGCAAGTTAAAGCGACCGCCACGCCGACACGCAACGCGTTCAAAATTGAGGTTTCCTTCCGCGTTGCCTTGAATTCAATCGAAATCTCTTTCTGAGTTTTCTTGAGTTTAAAAATATTTGTCACATGGAGTTCGCGACTGCTTAATTTATTTTATAGCGGTGTGGCACCTCTTCAGAGGCTTTAGGAGACAAAAATCGAAATCGTTTTTTGCGGTCCATTGGGGCGGCACCACCACCCAATTCTGCAATTTTTATTCAAGCACTCACTTGTAACTCTTCGTTGACTTTGTCTCCACACCAACTTGCCAGCGAGATTCATCCGGAAGTGTTGGACATGGAATTTCTTGCTGTAAACACGAAATTTCACAATAAATTCTTATTTTCCCGCTTTAAAACCAACAAACCTTCTTCTCAAACGATACATCAACTCGTTTCATCTCGATGACAATGTAAATAGCTCTCATCAATTCACGAACGGCACTTTCCAGTTGGCCAGCCTCTTCCAGACTTGGGAAACAAAGGCGTTCATGTCTCTCGACTTGATTGAAGTCTTCCTGAAACTAGCGCAGTGGTTAGAATAGACTAGAGGAAGAAAACTTACGTCTTTGCCTCCGATGAGAATACACCGTCCACAGATAATATTCGGGTAGTCGGCCTTCAATTTGTTATATGCCGATGAGATCTGCTCCGATTCGGAGGCTTCAGAATCTGTGGACTCGCGAGAGGCTCGAATCGATTTGTCCGGCTCTCCATGACCATTTGTGAATGCGACACCAATGACAGCAAACACGCGACGATGTTGCTGTAAAAAAGTTTTGAAAAATCAATAATTACAAAAAAAAGATCCGCCACTCTGTTTCTTTGTCAGGTACTTGTAATTTTCTAGCAAAAAGAAGGAAAAAATCACCTGCAACTCGCTGAATTCCGTGTATGACGAGGTTTGTGTAAATGAGCAGTGGAATAGTCGACGCGGATTATCCGAAACTTGAATGACGCGTTGTCTCGAGCATCTCTCCACAATACGCTTGAACGCCGGAAGTGATTTATTTGGCCCTATCTGAAAAGTATCTTATTGGTTTGCCGTCGTTTTTCCCTTTTTTGACGGTCACTCACCTGTTTGATGACGATATTTACAGTCTGTACATCGGTCAAAAAATCTGATGTACTAGATTTCATCTGAAGATAACGATGAATTGTGGCGGAAACGACTAGAGCGAAGTTTTCACCAGAAAGCAAGAAAAAAACGTTGCAAAAAAGAAAGAGAAAGAAAAAGGCCACCAAGAGTGAGCGATAAACATCGCGCGGGGTGAAGAGACGGCAGACACTGCGCGTCGGTCACCACTCTGCATTTGCGCGTCGCGGTGTACTGCACATTGACGCGCACAACCCTGTGACAGATCCTGTTTTGTTTTTCGTCGATGGATTATCCGATTTCGGGGGAGATGAGAGGAGAAAACAAGAAAAACAAGTGTAAATCACATTTTTATTGGTTTTTGGAAACATAATTGGCAGGAAATGTAGTAAATACAAAAACAAAAAAAAACTATTTCAGGTGTCCAGCACGTTTATTGTACCACCACTGAGCGGTTTGTGAGCGGCCGATGGTATTAACGAGGGCCGATCGTCAAATAGTGTTGGAGAATTGTAAATAAACATTATGTTAGCCGCCATACTAACTGCCAAGAACAGTATTAAGAATATTCGATCGATGACAAGAGACATGAGTTGCCACTCTTCCGTTATCTGGAAAAGAATATTTCTGAGTGAAATAGATTTTCTAAAAAAGCTACCTTGCTCTCCATTTGCTGATTGTGAAAATGTGCGGAGATGATTTTCAAGTGACCAGCAATTTTTCGAAACAAATCTAGATTATCTGCGACGCACCGTTGTTTCAAAGCCTCATCCATCTGAAACAATCGTATCTTTTTTAAACTTTTCCGTTAAAACTGACCTGCACAAGACTCAACAGCCTTAACCTTTGTGGTGGGAAAACTGGAGAGCTATTATTAGGATTTGGATGTTTTTGGGTGACTGAAGCAGTGACAGATACTGATCCGGTTCGAGGAGTTGTAGTTTCGCTGCCATCATCGAATTCCAAAGAGTGTTCCAAGGTTTTCAGACGGAGCAGCTTCGGGAGTCGTTGGACGAAGAGCCATCGCTGCCAATGAGGCATTTCAGAGGAGAACGCTTGTCTGAAATATATAAAATCAGGCTTGAGGGGAGGGGGTGGGGGGGGGGGGGAATAATAGGAGTATGGTTATTAATTCCTGTGAATTTCAAACTCAATTACAATAATAAGATCAACGAAAATGTATTTTCCAGCCGATTTTTAGACATTTCGACCATTTTCAAGAATTCGGAGCTCGGCTTTCAATTTTCCAATCATTTAGGAAATTTAAGAAAGTGTGCCCTAGATTAAAGACTTTGCCTTTACAGAATTTTTCGAGAATTCCTAGTTTTCCAGCTATTGGTTGGTTTTGAAAAGACACCAGTTTTTCACGATTTCAGTACAAGTCGGGAAAAAATGGTGTTTTTCAGGAATCGGTAAATAGCTGAGAAACTACGAATTTTTAATAAAAATTTGTAAATGCAAAAGTTTCGATCTAGCTCTGTTTTACACCCTCCAGAATTTTCAAAGTGATCGGAATCGTGCCAGCCGAGCTCCAAACTCCTGAAAATGATCAAAATGGCAAAAACCCAACTGAATAAA